AAAAAAAGAAAAAAAAAAGAAAGAAAAAGAAAAAAAAGTTTCTAATTCTTAACAGGCAATCACAGCTAGTTGGAACTTTTTGACCTTCGAAAACACAACACTGGGAAAAAAACTCTCCATCTAATTGAATACCTTCGTGCAGCCGTTTCTATGGAAACGCCTAGATATTGTACGCATATGAGGCTATGAGTAAAGCTGGTATCAATCTTGAATAAAAGACTTTAAGAATAGTTAAAAATCTACGGGAATAAAACCAAATGTTACAATATAAAGTCTGATGTTGGAGGCATATTTGTTCCGCTTTCAATATAGCTTACTTTTGCTTTCGTAATACGAACACTTGCACTTTTAGCTTAACGATAAAAATACGCCCCATCAATCGATTGACATCTTGTTTTATTACAAAGATGTGTACTTTATATGGAGTCGAGAATAGAAGCTACAGTCGTAACGTTTTGATCAACTCTGAAAAATGAAATCGAAAAACCTTGAGAGTTGAAAAGAGGGTAAAGTTACGACCAAAAGTCGCTTAAGCGGCCTTTAAAAAAACAACGTGGGTTGTTTAGGTCGTTGAGAAGTCGCCAGCATATCATATGAATCAATGTTATTGCCTTAATATCAGTGAATACAATTTTTTCTTTTAAAATCTTCCTTTTTGGTCTCGATTATTGAATAGTTCGGAGATATCAGTAGAGATTTGGAATATCGAATAGACTGGTATTGTAGAAACAAGGAATTGAAAATTTAGGTCGCAACCTTTCGTGTGTAGTGAAGAAAAAGCGAGAGGGAATATTAGCTATGACGATTGAAGAATATCATAGAGACTCTTTCCCAAAACGAACTCTCGTTTTTCACTTTCAAAGAGAATGAGGCCAAAGGGTTAGAATACCGCGTCTTAATGCTTTATTAATTCGAAGTTCATGGTAAAAATGAGGACAAAAACCTATAGGAAAAGAGCCGGAATGATGGTTCCAAATTTGCCGTGTTTGACTAGGATGAATCGTATCTATCACGATGATTTACGATCAAACATGAAACGACTATTGAACTACAATTATTTATTATCTATAAAGGGGTAAAGAAAAGCTTAWTTTTTTTGCAGATGAATATCAGAAGAATATCGCTAGATTAATCAGATATGTGGCACAATAATCTTATAATTTCAAGACAAGAAATGATTTCATTCGAAGTATGATAGTAAAATATACCTCAAGATTCTCATTTGAGAAAATTTAAAAAAATTCAACAGTTTTTAAGATAACATAATATCTAGGAGTCAATAAATCTAAGGCGACTGCAAGCCTCATATTTATCAATTTTGTCACCGGTTTTTTCCTTTTCTTTTGGGTTAACTCAATAATAGCGAGAAGAGCAGCTTGCAGTCTGGGTTTCTAACCTTGTTTACCACTAGTAAAAGTATTTCCACTCATTTCCCCCCAAGAAAATCGAAGTTTTGAAAGGATTGACTAAATATCTAATAGTCTGTCCAGAAAATTAAATGATAAGCTAGGGAAGCCTATCCTTCGCGAGGTTTTGAAGTAGAAACTACTCTTTAAGCTTGGACATCATATCTAGGATATTGTCCACAGGGAAAAAAATCTTAATTACAGTACACGAACATAATCCTTCTTATGTAAACCATGGTACTGAAATACTTTTTTGTGGAAAATTTACGAGCTTTTATGCTGGTGTAAACAGATAGCTAACGTTCAAAGATTACCATACATCATTTAGCTATTACACTTCTGAGTGTGAAGGCATAATCAGTAATAGAAGATATGATTACTGTAAAAAATTGAACGAAAAGACATTTAGACTTCCTTCTTTAGGAAGGTTAAAACCAGATTTTAAAGGATTTAGTGTTTCTCGGGTCGTGGGGGCGAACGAAAAATAATTTCGCCACACTGAAATCCTCCAATGAAACGTCTACGCACGCTAACCTTGTCAACCACTCATTACTTATGAAATAAATAATTTGAAGATTAAATGGACGTTGCTCGGTGTTAAATGCTAGAAGCTTAATGACTTGTGAAACTCTAGACCCCATAGGAAGATGCTTAAGGCACGTCCCTTAGAGACCAGACCACGAATATATCAGACTGAGCAAAGTCGATATTAACTTCTTTATTTCTTATGTCAGGGTAATGCCTAAGGACTTATTATGGTTTTGCGATATTAAGCCGTGTTTTGGTATGTTCTTAGTTACTAGTAAGTGCTTTGAATTTATGTAGCCCGCCTACAGGTCCTACCAGGTTATTGGAGATAGTTTAGAAGATTACGAAGGAATAGACGCTTGGGCTTCCTGTGGTATCCCAAAAAAGACACAGGGTTCCCGGTTCCGGTAGGATTATCTCAAAGAACTAAGATCAAAAGGATTGACTAATAGAATAAGGAAGCAATAAGCAAGATTATCATGTCTATGAAGCTTTGTTTTCGATCTTTGTCTGAATTTTTTTATTAACGGCAGTTTTGAACGCGTTCGCCGACTTCCTCTTGAAGCGCCGGGAAATTGAACTCCCGACGCTAAACACTTTTTCCAATTGCGACAATAGTTTTCAAAACCTCTTGGCTGATCAAAGTCAGAGCATGGCTAACTCACAGATCGAATAGGAAATTAGCGTGCAGGATTTTGTGGAGGGAGGAAAACCGGAGAAAAATCCTTGAATCAAGGGAGAGACCTAACAAACTCTATTCACATGTGATGCTGAGTCCAGGAATCAAACCACATTTAGAACCAGGAGAAAAACCCTCGAATCAAAGGAGAGGCCTAACAAACTCTTCTCACATGTGGTGACTCTGGAAATTAAACCCGAGCAGAAGTAAGAGGCAAGTGTACACACCCTCGATTCGATATCAAATAAAACAATCTAAATATTTGTTTTTGGAAAACGCATGGAGATTGATAACCATGTAGCCGCAAAATGAAGAGAAAAATGTCAAAAAGATAGTCAAAATAAACAAAACTAAAATTATACAAATTTCGATTTCGCCCTATRTAAATAACAATACCCTGCGAGTAGAGGTTTTTTCTGACCCTCCGTGGGTTGAAAATGAGCTGAATTTAAACTCAAAATAAATGCTAAAAACGATGAATCTTACGGCAATTTCGAACCTAAAAACGAACTTAAAATAAATAATAACATCAAGATATGCAGATTTTTGGTAGAATCACTTACGGAAAATATTCTTAAAGAATAATGAATGAATTACGGATAAATAATAATCAATAAAATAAATTCAATAAATTACAGTGCTTTAAAGCGTTGTTCCTGTCGATTATTTTTCATTATTTCATTACGAAGATAACAAGTCGGGTTTTATTTGAAGTATCGAGTGACTTCGTTTTTATCTGAGAATACTTTAAATCTCGTTGAGTTTGGTGCTTTTCTAATGCACATTTTAAGAGCCGTTAGCTTTAAAGATCAACATAAAATAAAACAACTTCTTAAGTCGTTATTTTCCATTATCATTATGTAATTCCCTTACGATTTATTTTCTTTAATCTTAGGTAAAATCACAAGAAACGTCAAACTAAATGATATTTGTAAATCATTTTTCAAAATCAAAAGTCGATTGTATAAAAATGTTTCACGTCATTTTTGTTGTCGGGTGTTTTTCCATCATAGAAATTAATCAGTCTTCATATTAAGTTTTTTCCCGAAATTCTGGAAAATTCAAAAAGGAAATAGCCTTGGGAAGAGAAAGAAAGGGTCTAATCACAGGTAGCCCAAGTTTGGTTTCTGTGGTGTCATGTTATAAGGAAATGTATGGGGAATATTTCTTACTGGTGGGGGAAAAAATCCTTTAAACGGGCTAAATTCAARAAAATAACCACACAGAGCGAAAGAAGTGCTATTTCTCAATGATCAGGTAAAATTTCAAGGCTTTATTTCACGTTTCAATGATTTTATTGGAATTTTTGAAGAATCCCCATACATTTCCTTATAACACGACAGCACAGAAACCAAGCTTGGGCTACCTGTGGTCTAATTTGAAAGCTTTCTAACTCGAAAATTGGATTAAAATCACTAATCCTTTCATTGAAAATTAATTGTTTCATTGTTTCATTTATTTTGTAATTGGGGACATACCACAATGTAATAGTCTGAAAATACTAGGGGTCACTTTCCAGGGCGACTGTCGATTTGGGGATTATGTTAAGAAGGTATTAAGTAAATCCAACAAAGCCCTTTATGTAATCAGGTCATTACAGAGGGAGGGTTACAACCAAAAGGAGGTAGATACGTTATTTAATGCAATAATTGTATCTAGGATTAAAAATAGTCTTTCCGTTTATGGAACATCGCCATCCGAACTTAATTGTATTTAAAATTTCCTTGATAGATGTAATAAACAGCGCTATATTTCACAACGCCTTAGTATCCATAATATGTTAGAACAATTAGATAGAAAAAATTCAGAAAAAGCTAGAAAAGAGAACAATCCTTTGAATAATTTAGTGCCTATTCCAATTATTTATTTATTTTCAACTCTAAAAATTTTTGTTTGGTAAACTTAGGCTTGGAGCAACGATCTGGGTCGATTAGAACTAGGCGACTATTTATCGACTTAAAAGGAATCAAAATAATACAAAAACTACTACGTACAGTGTCAAGTGAGGAAAAAGAGAGAGAGAAAGAATGGGAGAGAAAGAGAGAAAGAAAGAGACAAGAGAAAGAGAGTGAAAGAATATAAAAAAGAAAGAGAGTGAACCACAAATTATCGTCCAGTGCCCGGTTGTACGAAGCCTGGATAGCGCTTTCCGACGGATAAATCTTATCCAGTGGATAAATTTATTGGATAACAGAATCGACTTATCCACATCTTTGTGTATCATCATCAAGACGATGATGGTGGTGGTGGTGGTGGAGCCTGATGATGGTGATGATGATGATGATGATGATGATAAAATTTTTACGAGCCGCAGTTAAGGTTATGTTGGTGATGATGGTCACATGTTCAACGAAGTTGTGCATATTGTAGTCGTGGACGAAAAAAGAACACGTAGACGATCGATTCGATCAATACTGGTTTCAAATGTGGCAGCGATAACAAAGAATGATCTCATGAAACATCCGCGTCGCTACGCATCAAAAGACATCCCCAAATACACCGCTAAAAGCGCGACTCTTGAAAAACAATAAAAGCGACGATGCGCAGACATATTAAATTTTAAGAAAAGGAAAAAAAGTGAAATAGGACCATCAAAAATAAAACTCTTCAAAATAAATGTCTTAAAATAGGTGAGAGACTTCTTACCTCCTGGGAAGAAGTGTGGTATGCCGTCTTCAAATGTCATACGTGGTGCACCTCTGTGATTAAGACAGGATATCGGTTAGAATACGCTAGATTCAAACCAAGCTAATCTTAACTCAAGATAGCTATAAAAATCTAAAATGATAAAAAAACTCGCGGATGTACATTATTGACATTAAAACAGACTTTAAAAGGGAATATTGAGACGGTAAGGGATAAGAGAGTTTTACTTGACTGTAGGAAATAAAATGAGTGGGAACTTAGTATAGGGTATTGACGTAAAGTACGCACAAAGAAAGTACCGTGACTACGATTAAATGGGTTTCTATTTTCTACGTACGGGGTCAACAATAGCTTCATTTTTTGTATCTACGGGCTTCCTGTTGAAGTCGTAGATACTATGCCCTCGAGTCTGTAAGACTGTAAGGTAATGTAGGTATTCCAAATCTTCGGAAAGTATTAAGAACCAATACAAGAACTACTCGTTTTTCCCCCTGGTTATTAAATTTTTAACCTGAACTATTCGGTTTCCCCCCCTGACTATTCGTGTTTTAAACTGAACTATTTGAACAAACTCATTTCAACAAAAAGAATTCCATTCATTGCCAAGTCAACTATGCCACTCTGTTTATACCACTTTAAATGCTATACGCCGTATATACATGCAGTCGTAGACCTGACTGCCTATTTTTTTACATACCTATCGTCCATTCCTGGAGGGAATTCTCCTGGGGGTGGCATACCAGGCATTCCTGGAAACCCTCTACCTCTACCCCTACCATGACCAGGTACACCACTACGGCCAGAAAATCCTGCCCAACAATGACAAAATATAAGTTGAGCTTAAAAAACTTAGCACATTCTTTTCAAAAAACTGGTAATAGTACCCTTCACAGATCCCTGCACCATCTTGAAAGGAAGCTGTGCCTTTGCATTTGAAGCAAGACGAATGGTGACGTTGCAATGATGAGACATTCATTTAACACCTTGGGCAATTAATCATGTCTCTATCATTGCAAGCTTGCTGTTCATCTTGCTTCAATCCACAGTCGGGTTACTTTTGAAGTGATGCAGGGAACTGTGAAGGGGACGATTGGACTGTTCACTAAACAAGATTGACTAAACAAGTCCATCGTTGATCTCCACCCATACACCATGTTCCTAACAAAAGGAATTTAAATTTAAATGATTAGTTTATACTTATACAGTGCAACTACTGTAACCGGGGTCACTTAGGCCTAGGGCAAACGTCAAACTTTCCATGCACTGAACTTAATTACATCAAAGAATGCCGCCTCATTTTCACCTGATATGCATTGTTTTTAATGAGTTCAGTGCATGGAAAGTTTGACGTTTGCCCTAGTCCTTAGAGAAGTTAGAAAAGAGAGCCAATTAAAATGTACAATGAAAACAATACATTCCAACTTTGGGTAGTCAGCTCAATCAGAAACCTAAAATGCATGAGAATGGTAATTTGATCCTGAAGTTACGTGTAAAAAATAAGGCTATTGTTTACTGCTGCTTTCTGATTGGCTCCACCACACAAAGTTGGAACATTGTTTTCATTCTACAATTTGATTGGTTCTCACTGTCTAAGTGGCCCAAGTTATAGTGGTCGCACTAAAAACAGACGGGCAAATACACTACTTTTTTAGCCATTTCAAGGTTGATAAAAACTAGGTTAAGTTGGCATTGCAGTGGGTTGTTTGACTGTTTTAAGGGGCATATTTTCAAGATGGCATCTACTTTGTCCCCTCAAAATGTCCCACAATGCACTGCAATGCAAACTCAACTTTGTTTTTCCCTTAACCTCGTAATGCCTAATAGGCCAGCCTTGATTTCATAACTCACATAACATAACTCACCTTGTGCATCCTGTGGCATTCCGTCTTGTGGAAAACCAGGAGGTTGATTAACACCTGGAGGTGGCTGCTGCATTCCTGGTGGCATCATACCAGGCATTCCACCAGGACCTCCTGGGGGGCCACCAGGGGGGAACCGTGGGGGCATGTTCTGATTCATAGGCATGTTTGGTGGGCCTGCCATTGATGATATAGGAGGCCCTCCGAGGTGTGGAGGTGGGCCCATGGAGTGTTCTGAGGTGGGGAGGTACTGCATTGGAGGACCTGAGACAGGAGGCATTCCTGGAGGCATGTTTTGGTTGCCTAGGAAACAAATGAACATATTTGATCAAGTTGTACTAATTTGTAACAATCTATCGAACCAATTCACCATTTTACAGTTCCATTCAGTGACAACAAATAATAGTTCCTAGCTGAGGCTGGAGTTTCCGCGCATAGCAAAACTACAGTTTATCAACGCGGTATCTCCAGCCTTGGCTAGGAACTATTATTCATGGTCACTAAATGGAGCTGTAAAATGGAGTATTCACCATTTTCCATACAACAGTTCACTGGTTAAACACAAAGCATTCAGTTGAGGTTACAAGGTTCAAATTTAAATAATCCTTGGAAAGTAACTTGGTGCCTTACTTGAGCACTCTGTGTTTGACCAGTGAACCAATGTATAGAAAATGGTGAGTAGAGACATTACGATACTACAACTACGGACTATGGACTATATGGATGGCAGGTGCTCTTAGGAATGGAATAAGACACATTGCCTAACTGTGTCACACCATAGCGAACTCACAACTTTGTGTTGTCGAAGTGTTTTGCATGTTCTATGTATTGAACCTTAAAATGATTTTCCAATTCAGTCTTTAAACTTCAAATGAAACTAACTTTTGATTCAGACGAAAATGAGAAATGACATGAATAATACCACAGTCAACTTTTCTACCTGGGAAGCCTCTTTTCGGCATTCCTCTTGCTCTAGCGTCAGGAGGCATTCCGTCACCCATCATGTGAGGTGGTATTATCTCGTCATCTTGATGACGTCGGCTTTCAACTGTAAAGATATAAGAAAATTAAAATAAATTGTGTCATTTCCTAGAGTGTCCTTTCGTTGTTTAATGGTTGTGCACAAGGTGACATGAATATGGATACAACTTAAACAAAGAATCTTATTCTCAAGGGAATGACACATGGTCTTAAATGGAAAAAAGTTACTTGAAGATGAAAGGGTCTATCAATCACACTTTTGTGACATTGAAATCGTAGGAGCAAACATTTCAAGGTATACATCATTGCATAAAACATATTAAAATGATAATAAAAAACAAACTGACCTCTTGATCCTACTGCTCCTATAACATCAATGCTTCCTTCTGTGCGTCGCTCTGGTGGAGGTCCAGCTTTGCGAGCAACACGAGCTGAAATGTAAAATAACATTTTACAAAACTAATGCTTTTTTTCTAAAGGTAATATGGAATAATAATAATAATAATGATATCTATTTAGGCACAATTAGGACTAGGGCAAACGTTGAACTTTCCATGCACCGAACTCATTAAAAACAATGTATATCAGGTGATAATGAGGCGGCATTCTTTGATGTAATTAAGCTCGCTGCATGGAAAGTTCTACGTTTGCCCTAGGACTTAATTTTACAGCATTGCTGATGTGGTAGTGTATTTTTAAAATAATGAATATAATACCCCTTATGATATACATCCATTTCACTCTCTGTCTCTCTCTCTGTCTCTCTCTTTGTCTCAGTATTATATTTTTATTCCGCTTTCATGAAAAACAATTTGTAAATTGATGAAACTGTTTTCCGAGGTTAAATAAAGTATACACTCACTCACTTTCTCTCTCTGTGTGTGTCTCTCTCTGTCTGTCTTTGCTTTCATTCCATCATTTTTTTTTTTTTAGGTAAAAGCAGTCTCAGTTACAGTGTCTGCATTGTGCATACTCTTCAACATTTTAAGGATTAACATGAACATTTGATTCAATGGCAGCTTACCATCAGTTCCCATGACAGCAGCCATGTCTGGTTGGCCGGCGGCAATAGGTGCACCCACGTGATGTGTCTGTGTAAAGTCAACTGTTAGAAAACTACAAAAAATTTAATATAGACCCCTTGCTCTAATTCCCACCCTTAAATCAAAACAATGAAATAATACTAATATATACAAAAAAARTTTCATTTCTCAAGAAAATGGGATCCTCTTGCTTTAACCCCAAGATTGGAAGATTTTTACAGGGATTTATCATGTAAAATACAGAAAACTGTTCTGAGGTACCATAATAATGCCATAATTTTGCACCTACTGTACTTACAAAAATTTTCTTTTGCATAGTTAGTTCCATTCTCATTCGCCTCTGTTTTTCACAATACTGCTTCCAAGTGTCTTCTGTGAATCCATAGTTAAAATAATCTGTGATATCAGCACCTGAAACACAACAATAAAGTGTTAACGATAATTATTAATGCTTATTTACCTGGAACAACGATAGGTGTAATGACAAGTTTTTAGGTCCAATTTACATGAAGGCAGGCCAATCCTTGTGCTAGGGATGAGTCTTTTGTTCTTGTTGATATTTTAATCACAAAGCATCAATGTTTGATTAAGTAAACATATCATTTTGTGCAAAATTTCATACCTGGTTTTCTCCAAGGCTTCTCCTCTACAGACTCCATGTCAAACTCATAAATTCCTACACCATTAACAGTACCCTCAGCATTCAGGTCAAGATGTTTACTTCCTGCAGCTATTAAAGAAATAAAACAAGTTAGACTAGAAAGCCCTGGGGGTACTCTTGCTCATTTAGGGTAGGGATGTGCTGCTGAGCCCACTGAACCCCGACCCTGTTCCAGAGTAAAATCACTGAAATTCATACCCTGTTTAGAGCAAGATCGCTGAAAATCATACCGTGTTCTGGTATTGCGAAAATAGATACCCTGTTCCAGAGAGGAGAGAGCGTGATTTCATATACCCTGTTCCAGAGAGGAGAGAGCGTGATTTCATATACCCTGTTCCAGAGTAGAATCGCTGAAAACCATACCCTGTTTGGCAGCACCATACCTGTATAGCAAATATAGGGGAGTACCCCCCGGGCTTGAAAGATCATACTTCGATGTGTGGATGAATCAAGATATACAAGGTAAGTATTAAGGTGTTTTTGTGCTTGGAAAGTTTTTTGTGCTTGGATATAATTTAATATCCACTTAGGTTATTGAACAGCATTCGTAGCTTAGAAGCTCAGTTGGTCAGAGTATCTGTCTAGCAAACAAAAGGTCATGGAAAATTTGCTTGATTAAACATGATTCACATCTTTAATGTACGTGGTAGTTTAGTATGTTACCTGGTGTCCCTTTTGTTGCAGATGACACGGCACCTCCTTTGAAGTTCCAGTTAACTGGGGTTGCATATGGAGCACTGTCCAAACATAATGGTAATCAATTTGTGGTATCAACAATTCCTTATACTGTCTTACTCATAGTTCTTATAACAATAACTAGTTGGTCATCAAACTAATTACTACTATTACTTCTTATATTAGAGTTCAGTTATCCTGAACCCTGGATATTTTGAGCTATCAGTAATCTCAAATATAAGGTCAAATCCCATGCAGGGCTTTCAGAATGTTTTGGAGTAGTTGTTCATAAGTCTGAAGTACTGTCTATGATCAGATGCAAGGAATAGAAGGTACTTCATAGAAAAAAAAGTAGATAGCGGTTAACATTGAAGCAATTGCTCAAACTCCAGCAGTCACTGGGTTATTCTGAAAGCCCTGCTGTGGACTTTACTTTGAAACCCTTAGTGTTTTGAGCCCTTTTTTTCTTTGTCCCAAGCAGGAGGAACACTAGGTTTTCACTGTACTACTACTACTATTACTGCTGCTTATCCTCCTCCTATCACTACTCAGGTTACTTATGAGACATTACTAAAGTTACACCAGGTACACTTCTCTTTATTAGATGATTTTATCTCTCTCTGGGCTACCTGTGTCTCACTCTTAATATTCCTTTACCAGCTTGTGATGGAACACTCTGAAAAATGAGTGAGCAACATTTGCAGAGAAGGCCATTGCTAAGGTAACGGCATTCTGACTGATAAGATTCAAGCTCTTACCCATATGTAGTTCCAGAAGTATTGATTTCACCAATGGTGACTTGGACATCATCGTCGTCGTCATCATCATCATCATCATCATCTTCATCATCTTCATTGCTCTATTAGATTAAATATCACAGAGCCAATAAACCAACATTATAAAGTCACCCTGATGCAGTTTGGTTTTATTTGGTGAGGTATGGATAAAAAAAAGTCCTTTTTTCACAAGGGTAACACTTAATAGCCAGTGGCTAACAAACCTGTGGCCCTCATTCTGTGATCGAAATGGAATTTAGGAGTTGATTCTTGTGAACAGCTCTACTTATATACAACACCAGACCCTGCGGGACTCTAACTTGGGTCACATTGATGAGAGGTGAACAATCACACCACTACGCCACCTGTGCTTCCCTCATACACTTCTAATTCTATACTTGATAATATACAAGTACTAACACACATTTTTCCGTGTATCCATCCTGCCACACTGCTGGTGATATCACACAAAGCAGAAAGGATTTGAATGTAAAGGAATAAACACATCATGAGATCTTCCCTTCAATCCCCAGAGCATGCAATATTGAGTGATGTGTCCTCCAAAAATGCTAAATCTACATGGCACTGAAATAAAATAATTGTTATTGTCATCATCATCATCATTAACTATCATTAATTTTGCCATCATCATCATCTTCATTATCAAACTTTATTATCTGACATCATTAACAACTACATCATCACCATCATTATTATTAACTAGTTGGCATACCAGCTCTCCAGCCTCTTTTGCATCATCATCATCATCATCATCCTTAGCCGGTGGTTCATTTTCTTTGGTTTCTTTGTCATCAGGTGCGTTCTTGATTTCATCTTCTTTCAGCAGAACATTCTCCTCGGCACTAAAACAACAGAAAGCATGTACTATTACCATAGGACTATAACCATAGGATTTGGATCAGGCATAGATCAGTTGCTTAGTGTGCAGCCTTCAAAAGTAGAGGTCCAAGGTTTAATCCTCAGGACTTTTTCAACTTCTCTCTGTTCTGTGTAGCTTTAGCTTCAAATGCACATAATAATGAGCACTGATAGTCTGAGGGGGGAAAGCGTGCACCTTTGAGCCCTTAGTACATGAACCCCTGGCTCAGAAGAATTGGGCATCCACTCCACATGTTATTGAAGTAATAAAATAATACCTTTACCTTTGAGGAAAATAGCACAAGCCTTCTTTTAAATTCAACTTTTACCTTGTAATTTCTTGATCCTTTTCTTCCTTTATTGGTGCGTCTTTTTTATTATCTGAATTAATAAGAAATCATTAACGTCTTTCTTACATTAAAAATGCAGCCACATTACCTACTAGACAAAAATAGATGCAGGCGCTTAATAAAACACACTGCGCTTCACTAATATAGTAGAATTCTTACGAATCGTAATGCGCATTAATGCTAGTATAACCTTATCAAACAAAACACAAGTTTAAAACCTTTAAGCTTATATTACAATGGGTTTATAGTTCACGTTTGAGCTGAGCCTGATAAACGTGCTTATTTGTCAACATTATACAAGTATTTATCATACACAAAATTAGTATCAAAAACCATAAAAATATCTCAAATGATTATCATACTGTCATCCCGCGATATTTTAAAGTTATGCAGATGGATTAATGAGGAGTAAAAGAGTACCTTCGTCATCTCCGTAAAGGAAAGCTTCATCGTCTTCTGCGTCCGCCATCTTGGATTTTGACAGCGTGTATTTCTACTGCGCATAAGTAGACACTTGTGAACGCTGACCATGGTTCATCACAGGAAGCCCAAACTCGGTTTTATTTCGGTTTTGTTCGTTTCTGAGGCATTAAACTCGGCTGTAACAAAGAACAGGGCACCAAAAAAGGTGAATGGAAAAAATTCTCAAGTTTTTCAAATACTAAGGAAAAAAGCGATTTTCCGCTCGATTAGTGATTCCTCCCTCAGTTTATTGTATTATCAATGATTAATAACAAAAACAACGATTTATTATATATTAATCAAGATTCTCGTACTCAAAACCTACCTGCATAGCATTTTACCGGGGAGAAACGTAGGATTTGGCTAGTTGAGGGTGTGGCTACGAGAACGGAAAAGATTTAATATCTAAGAAGGAACGCTTTTTACTGACAAATTGCAACTTCAGGCTGCTGCGCAGAAGAGGAGCAACTCTAACTGGTAAAAGAGTTAGCAAGTGGTTTAAAGATGTAAAATGTATCTGCCCATATCCCATGCCTATGATAGTACGGCCTAAATCGCGTTTTAAAAGCAGTTTTGGCATCCGTCAATACTAAAAAGGTCGAAAACGCCTAGATAGCCTTTTCATCATCGAAAGAGCATACAGCATTTGGAAACGCTCTCCAGAGTTGAGACATTTGCATGTCTTTTCGTTCAAAACGCATTCGGTTCCATGCGTTTTGGTCTTTTTGTCCAAAGTAAAACGATCGAAAACGCAAGCGCTTTCATCATGGAACATAAAAGGACCTTTTATGATCCATGCTTTCATCGAAACCACATAAATTTTAACAATCTCCACATGGAGTGAACTGATTTTTGAAAACGGTGACCTATCTTGATTGTAAACAGTGAAAACGGAGACTTTTGAAAACGGTTAAAGATTTGGTAATCAGGAATATTCTAGTTTTTAAATTTGCAACTACTTTTTTGTATCCGGATTTTTCAAAATGTTCTTTCTAGACGTTTCCGTCGAAACTTTTTTGCAGTTTTGGACAACGTTGACGTCATTTACACGGGCACGTCTGATTTCGATGCGCAGCTGAATGATGATATTATATCGTACCTGCGATTTTGATCGTCTTAGTGTGTACGCTATGAAAACGTTAGTGTGGACGCAAAGCTAGCGCTTTTGATGCGATTTCTGAGACGAAAAAAAACGATTTCCGTGGTATACGTATGGTCAACAATGGAAGTTAGACGGCTTATAGATCGATTGGGACTTGACGCTGTACGTCAGTGATCGCGGTCTCTTTCTTGTTGTGATAGCGCGGCGCAACATGGCGGATGAAGAGGATCGGTACTCGGACGATGAATCCTGTGAAAAAGTCAGCGATACTGAAGAAGATGTAGAAGAATATGTAGTAGCTCCCATAGGTAAAGAACTGTGCTTTCATTATTTACAAGATTTCTATCTAGAATCCCAGTCATATGGTATCTTGTTTGTCTTGCCGGGTGGGCTTCTCGTGCGTTACAACATTGCGAAACACTATTCTTCGCCGAAAATAATTAAAAGACCTCGATTTTTTAAATGTTATCGGGTTTTTTATTTGTCAGATAAGCTTGGAGTTGTTGGTAGATGGATTCGACATCGTCTTTTAGCCTCGATTCTCATGGGAACGCCTCCGTTAGTCGCCATTCAGGTAAACAGGGATATGGTTTCCGGACGCTGTTGTTTTTATTCCCAATATTTCCAGATGTTGCTAGCTTGAAAACCTAAAATCTTTCCCTAGATGAGCTTCATAAAATATCAATATTTCGCTAACTGTAAGTTTACGAGATGTTGAACTGTTATTTGAGGTCGAAAACGTCGTGTGTATTGATTTGAAAGTCTCCTATGAATAATTCATTATGACATTTTCACTTCTTCAAATCTCATCGCCTGCCAGAAAATACGAGCAAATAAAAAACCGGTTTAAACTCTAGTCTTGTCATAATATTATTTTCCTTGGATTTAAAGGTTAATCAATAAAGTCAAACCTATAGATTCAGACTTCTGCTTTGATCGATAGATCTAGAATTCAGCGCTGAATCAGTATTTTCGATTTGAATTTTTAATTGTTGAAACAAAACTATGAAATGAGCTTCGGTGAGGTTGGAAAGATGAAGCTTAAATCAATATTTAAGTTCATCATTTGTTCGTTGCTCGAATCTTATGAATAGGGATATTCATATTTTTAAACTCATAAAATTTTACATATTATTCGTAGAGTTTTATCTTACAGTGAAGGCTGTGTATGCTCAGACAAACACCAGTGAATTCGATCATTACCGCTTATGACAGGAAGATCAATATATCATGTCCTTTAGCCCTTGCACTTGCATGACAGGAGAATGAAGAATTCAATAGACTATTACCTTAGCTTTGAATTTCAATCATTGTTTTTAAGTAGTTTCTATTGAAATACTTTTAATGCGTTTCAAAATGCTTAACATAAACACGTTATCTATTGTTATGCAAAACCTTTCTTCGACCCTTTTTCATTACTTTTCAAGGGTTTCATGTTTAATATCTCAGAGATGTCAACACCACTAGAGGTTTTCTAGAAAACATCCTGAAATCCAAAACAGATAGACAAATTTTGTTTTATAAAGTACAAGGTAGATGTTGCTCTGTGAAGGAGTATTAATAATTGGACAGGCCTCGACAGGCCTGAACACCCCTTTTGTTAATGCTCACATACCTTGGCTTCAACTTGGCAACTATTTGAATATGGCCTTTCCTAATGATAACAAAACGCAAAGGTCAAATAAAGTTCAGTTTTGTTGGTTGCCAATAAAAAACAGGTTTTGGCTGATGTCCACCAATATTTATTTTTAATTGTTAAATAGCTGTTAAAAATTTAAAAGATGGTCAAAATAAAATTTCAAACATGTAATCAGTGTTGAAACTTTCCACAAAAACCCAGATACAAAAACCATATCCTTCAATCTAAAGTATGCTAAATAAGGCTATATCCTACTATATCTTTCAGCAAAAATCAGCAACATTCTTACCGAGGGGATGTATAATTTAATCTCAAGCTACGTAGGGGAATTTCKATTTTTGATTCAAGATATTATGACACTAGTTTTGATGTGTATAATATACTAGATTGCTAAAAATACATTATGAGTTTACTAAATTGATTATCCTGAAATAARTAATATATCTTTCTTGTTACAAAGATACTTGTAAATGTAATCCTAAATATCATTTTTTTYCTCTTCATCAGAGGATGCGCACTCCACTCCGTACCAAAATAATGAAGATCAACAGCTTCTTTGGTACAGAAGAGTTCTATACTCCACTTGTATGCTTTCTCACATGGTAAGGCTGCTTCTTGTATCTAGTTCAAATACCAATTTAGCAGTTTTTGCAGCACTTCATGAAAAGCCTTCTATTGAGCACTTCGGCTTGTCTCTTACTGATACCACTGCTAAGGGACCATGTGATTTGATGTTATATAGAAATGGCACATCTAGTTTTGAATACATTATATATACACCAAATTTACTATCATTAATATAAAAAAAACATATGAAACCCTTTAGCTGCCTAGAGTCTTGGAAATATTTCAAGTGTTTTATCAGATCATGTTTGAATATGGGCTATAAAGGTCAAAAAACTTTGGTCTAAAGATTAGATTTGAATCAACATTGAGAGGAGAACGCATAGACATGTTTTTGTACTTTGGACCCTAGCCAGTCCTCTCTATACCGTTTTGCCATTTCATCTTAGAAAAAATATTATATGATTTTTTAGGATAATTGATGCCAGATTAGGAAGATTGCTGTGTTTTCTGATGGCCCTTGGCTTCTACGTAGCTGGCTTTGTCAAGGTAATAACATTTTATTTGTTTTTTCTTTATAGGATTTTCTCTCCAAAAATTCATGAATAATAATAATGATAATAATTATAATAATAAATAAATAATAATAATAATATATCAGCTTATATCAGTATAAGGATTTATTACTATTATCACTATTACTAATCTATGTTTATTTATATATATTTGTTTAATACATATTTTTTGTCAGTATATCATATTTTTTGCTCAGCTTTTAATAGTTATATTTTACTCATGTTCTCTTTTGGTTTCTTTTAGTTTTGTTATAGTATTGTTATTGTATTGTATTGTATTTTAGTTTTTGGGTATGAGGGCCACTTATTAGTCAGTTGATATACTGTTCAGTGTATACCCTTGTTAAATAAAGTTGATTATTAATATTATTATTATTAGACATAAATTCAGACCATGTGTTATTCCCCTGAATATTGTTTCTTTGTTTAATAGTATTGTATGACAAAACAACTGTTACAGCTGATTAACAATTATTACTTGAAAGACAAAATTACATGCTGAAATGGGACGCCATAATGTCTAGGTTGAATGTGGCTTACATTTTCAGTTTTCATTTTCTATAATGAGGATGCAAATCATTATTTTTGATAAGCAGGTCATTGTCAGGCCAGAGGTATATATTCGACCTGCTAAAACCCAAGCTTGTTTAGGGAAACATCCAGCCAAGAGGGATCTTTTATCACTCAAGTTGTCATTTCAATCTGACATTCGTTCTATGATTAGCACTTATTGTAGCCTTCGTTTATTTTGTGGTCAGGTTTTTTTAATAAATAATTTATCATAGCGTAAGCAAAAAGCAATAGGATATATCACAATATTTTTTTAAAGACTGAGTTTCTTTTTTCTTCTATCAGAATCTATTGTGTTTACCAAGACCATCCAATCCTCCTATTGTCCCATTAGAAGGTGACTCTTTTGAAACCTGGTAAGAAACACATATGATTGAACAAACACTGCACTGACATAAAACATTCTAATTGCACCTTACTGAGTTTGTTTTGATTGGTTTTAGGGGCTTACCAAGTCATCACGCAGTACTTGCCGTATTGCTACCATGGTACGTAGACTACACTTTGACTAAAACACACTTTTCTCACGTAGTTAATTAGTCTTTATCGTTTCATTAAGAAATATTCATGTTCATRTACCTTGAACACCAACATCAGTATAGCTGCAGTAGGGCTATAAACCATAACATAACAGATCATGCTCTTTGTCTTCTTAGGTACATATGGTTCTACTCTATGCTGCACTTTAACCTCTCTCAATGGGCATTTATCACCCTCTTTACTGTGATTGTCATGTGTAAGTATTTACCTTTCTCATTATCTTTGTACATATTGGTAGTGATCACCCATCAGTCCAGGTGCAAGGACTATGGATCAACCAACTGTTGGAAGGGGAGGGGGAAAGTATTTGCTGTTCTCCTCCAATTTACAACTAACACCTATTTTCATAACTTCTTGACCAAATCAGATTAAGACTAACTGGGTTTTTGGCTTGCATTGATCAAACAAATGACTACATGTAACTCAGACTGCTCAAAATTTTCATTGACAGAAGCCAAAAATCCAGGTGCCTTGAATTATTTATAGCTGGTTGTCTGCGTCATGTAATTATATAAACAAATGTAATTCAGTTATAACATTGAAAGAAAGAGAGAGAGGTGCACATTTACACCTTCAAACCACCCCTAGCCTGGCAACAGGGTCATGGTCAGGGCCCCTCTGTATAGCAGCCTAGTTGCTGAATGGGCCACCTTGCATCAATAACGTTTACCTTAACAGGCTTGCAAATGTGCTAGCTAGCAGACCTAGCCAGACTACCTAGGATGGTAATTTTTACTCTCTTTGTCTATTAAGGGTCTGTGTTTGTGATGATGAGCAGGTTATATCTTGGAGTCCATAGTCCTGCAGACATTGTTGTTGGTGGTATCATTGGTTGTATTGTGTTGGCTATCTGGATGAAAACAGATGATTTATTTGACATGGCAATCAGCTACGGTTCCAATGGTAAGTAATAACATTGCACTAGTTTTGTACTGATATTTGTTGGCATGCAAGCAGGAGCAGATTATAGCTTAGGCTTCCTGTGTTTTTTTTTTTGTTAATGGTAGAAAATGTTACACTACTTTTAAGAACACATTGATAGATGTTTATTGCAGTCTTTTTATTTTCTGATTAGTTTTCTTCATATTTCAGTGATCCCAAAGGCTGTGGTCTATTCTTTGTTACTATTGTTCATTCATCCACAACCACTGACTGAAACCAACTCCTTCTTTGAGACGGTATGCATATTTTTCTGTTGGTTGGGGGGGGGGGGGTCTTATGTCTGCATTCTCTGCCTCGCCCTTCAAGAAGATCACAGTTTGATCTGCCTGGTCTTGTATTCAACAAGTTTGCATTATTTTTTTAGAATTGTATGACTGGGGTAACAGTTGGTGTTGCCGTAGGAAGAGCAACAAATAACAAGTATTCAGCCATATCAAAAGCCGTTCTGGAATCTGGAGATGGTAAGAATAAAAATTTATAGAAATGGTACCCAAAACTCTATCACTCTTTTCCCTGAATAAAAAATAAAATAAGAAAAGTGTTGATGTATTTAGTTTATACAACTAATTGGGGATACTGCGCTGAAATGAAACTGCAATGAAGAAATAATCAAAAAACAAAGTGTTTTAAGAATCCCAACTGGCAAGGAGGCAAACCAGTTGGCTATTTACAAGCATGTTCGAGAAACTGAATTTGAACTAATCAGCAATCAGGACAAATACAGTCTCAGCTAGTGGCCACAGCGGGACTCTAACTCAGCACCACCTTGGATTGTGAGACCGACACTTTGACCACTCAACCATGCTGTCCCCCTAAAAAAAAATAAAAAATAAAAAAAACATTTTACTTATATTACAGGTTCATTAGTAAAACATCCTTTTATTTTTMAATTTTTAAATGACATTTGTGGATATTTTTTTGTTTTCAGAAAATACAACTTGGTTCACATATCTTTGGGTTTCAGTGTTGAAGCTTGCCTTAGGTAAACATATGTAAGAGTTAATTTTGTTATATCAATCAAGCTACATGATATACAATAATAAAGGGCAGACCTACCTATACAGTAGGATAGGTTCCCACAATCTGCTCAGGATAGTATTTTATCTGGCTTCTCCAGTTACCTCCCTCCACAAACTTTACACACTAAATTCCTGCAAGTTACCCATGTTCTGCATACCAGCCCATAGGGTATTTCAGGATTCCATAAAAATGAGGTTTTTGAAGAGTGTGAAATTTGAATTTTTTGGTGGGGTGTACCTCATGTAACTCATTTTGGCTGATTTCTTTCTTTAGGTTATTTCCTGGTCATTCTCACAAGGATGGTTTGTAAAGCAGTCTTCATGAGCCTTATATCACTTGCCTACAGAGTGGTTGATATTGAATACTTCAGTAGCCGGAAAATAAAGAACTATTACTTCCGTACAGCATACAGCAACTCCTTTAAACTTCCTCCCATCGAAAAGCAGGTAAGTTGTTCCTCTCAGGGAATGATTAATTTAAATTTTTAATATCCAAAATCTTGCAGCCATTAATACAACTCCTCAACTAAGGAATAACAACACTTCATCTTGCTCATTATTTCATTTATTCATCCATTTGCTTATTCCTTCCATTCATTTATTCTTTTACTCCTATTTTTTCCTTAGGGTGTCAAAAAGAGGATCCACAAAGTGAGATCTCGAGATGAAAACATTCGATACAAGTGGAACATTGAGTTCCCTGTCAGGTATCTGACGTATGCGTGTATGGGCTGGATGTGCGTATGTGGTACTCCACTACTCTGCCACAGTATCGGACTGACTGTATAAATCAAATTTAACTTGTATATTTTACATCTGTAGTTCAGGGTTTTAATACCAGCTTGAGTAAGCTGCAATATAGACTGGGAGCAGCGAGGGAATCTTACTCACATTTTCCCTAAATTCGGGGGAACTTAAATCAAAATAGGTGGCAASTCCATGTTAAATACCCGGAGAGATTCGCTGACTGGGCACCAGCTTCTATTGAAAATCCTGGTAGTTATGGAAAAGTGATTTGGGGTTTTAATTCTATATAAATCACAACCACCTTTTTTACCACGAGCGTCAATGGGTCTTACAGTTCTTTTCTCCAAGTACAGTAATAGGCTTTAAATATTGATATGAGATATTTGATTTAAGGGGCAAGCTATTATTTATCACTGCCTGGGGATTAATTCATTTTTATTCAAGTTTTATGTCAGAATCATTGCCATATGACAAAATTTGTCATTCAATTTACTTTTTGCTATTTAAATTTAAATTTACTTTTTGTACTCAATTTAATTCTTTGTCACTTTCATGCTGATATTATGGTTATAGTGTCATGTAAGGTGTCAGTATTGTGTAGTTCCAGAAATCATCCATACCAACCCCACAGAGGAATTTGGAATTTCCGAAGAGTAGGGGGGTCGGAAAAAGAACAAAAATTACAGAGTTTGTATGGAAGAAAATTGGAATTTCCGGGGGATAGGGGGGTATTAAAAAAATTCCTCCGTGAGGGGGGTATGGATAATGTTTGCAACTACACATTAAGCTTTTTGTTTTTAACTCGTGGATACGCAAAGTWAAAGGTCAAGATATAGGGATTAATTTAATATGCATAATGCAATGCTCTTGTCAGTGGGATGTAAAAGGAGCACAGGGAACCCAATGTCTGAAAAATGCAAACAGGATTCAAATGGGATTCATAAGTTTGCCTTGCGGCAGGTTGATTTCTTTTCTATTGGTTTTCCTTTGCATACCACAAATACAGTATACATTTATGTAAATATCCTATTAGATAAAATTTCATATACCTTCACATACAAATTCCTTCCCATTAGAGCTATTAGTTAATTAGAGTTGCATGTAGAAGAATGTAAATTATTGACAAATAGGGCTTTTGATAATCAAAAAAAGTTACCCTGATCATCAAACTATTGATTTTGTAACAACTTGATATCAATTCTTACRGAAAAGGTGGCTTTAAATGAATGCAAAGGCCCCCTCTTGAGGGTGTGACAAGAAATTTTCAGGGGGGAGGTGCAGATCCCATTTTAAGTAAAGCATTTTTTCAGATCTCCAAATTTGAAACTTAAAAAGAAAGGTTGATTGGAACACCTCCCTTATCTGACTACACCCTGTAGTATATTGCCCTGTTTTACCAACAATTTATAGAAGCTCTACATGTTTATAATGATAAGATAATAGAATAAAATTCACTTTGATAGGGCAGATGTAAYGGTAACAGTAAAAAAATAGTAAAATATAGGATTAATTAGAAATTTATAATTGTAAAATATTAATTTTGAAGATGCTCTGCAATAATGATTATTGACTCTTATTTAAACATGAAGCATCGTTCTTTAATTTCTTGCTTTTTACTCTCTGTAATTATACCTTTTCAGCTTTCTGTTGTCAAAAAATTAGCTATTTTAAATGAAGACATTTATAAATTATATATTATTTTATATTTCAGAACGTTAATTTATTTTAAATTAATCTTAATTTAATATAATTTRATGTAAAAATTTTGAGTGATTTTCATAGGCCAAATCATTTGAATGTATTGTWTTATTGTTTTCCCAATTCAATGTGTCATTCCTCTGTGAACAAGATCCTTTGATGTATCCTCTTAACCATTATTAGCTACAAGTAACAATGATACTCAAGGGAATGACACATGGTCTGAAATGGGAAATTTTGATGGTAAAGCTGAATGAATCTATTAAAATGTCTGAAAAATTGTTTTATTGACTTCAAGAATATAAGTGTATTTATTTGACTAATTTTGCTTCACTCATAAAACTGAAAATATTAGTTTTAAATCGTTGAAAGAAAGCAACAGAAATAGTATCTATTAGTTACCATTTTAAACTTCCACCTACTGTGAAGTCCTGTTATCTCAAATTTCCTTTGASCAGCAGGCAAAAGGTTCAAAATAATAGGAAAAATATTTCAAGGGAAAAATAATGGGATGCCGCCTCAAGTTAACAAGAGGTAACTGAGAAGTGAAGATACCCTGGATTTGTGATAACAAGACTCCACTGCACTGCATCACATAGGTGATGTAAAATTATTCCCAAGTTGGATTGCCAGTAAATTGTATGCGCTAAACATATTGCAAAGAATACTGAAAATCACTCTACCCCCATAGAAGATTTTATTATCAAAAAATGTTATCCTATTTATGGAGGACAATGAAATATAAACATAATAAATAAATAAATAAAATTATAATTATTGTTGCTGATTTATCCACTCATTAGTTGTTATTGTTGTTATACAATGCATTCTGTGCAGTGCTTATTACCCACCACTACATTCAAAATTCTATGCACACAACTCTCAATGAACTAGCATAATGAATTTGGTGCCGTAACTGTTCACCCTTCTGTCTCACTGCTGTGGTGTGGGTTTGAGCCCTGCATCAGGGTAGATCCAGCGGATCCAGCCAAAATTTTAGGGGGGGCTAATTGAGTTTCTTCCGTCAACACAACGGGAAAACAATATAAAAAAGCATTGTTTTTTTCTGCTGAAGGGGGGGCTTTAGCCTCCCTTTGCCCCCCCTGGATCCGCCCTTGGATCATACATGACKGGTTAGTTTGAGAACTTTTAAGTTTTTAATGTTGCCTCCTGTGCCACAAGGATATTTAAAATATTCTTTCAGGTTTTCTGTTTTTTTTGTTTTTTTTTACTGGCCGTAAGAATCAACATGTCAGTCCAAGAGTGATATGCATAGGATATTTAATGCACCAGTAGTGTGTGTGTGTGTTACGGTGGGCAAAATATTGGAAACTAGTACATACAAGTACTGAACTTGTATCCCACTAAAGAAAAGTGTTCTATATATTTTAATATTGGATTTGATTTTGATATTATGTATACAGTGGTTGAATCTGTGTGACACCTCAACAATATATCTTGGCACATGCTGGGTTAAGGGAATTATTTTTTAAGCTTCTTTAATCAAATGGAATTCAAGAAAAAAATGGGGAAGCAAGACAAAATTTAATTACTTTTTTCTAGTTCTTTAGCTGTGACTTTTATTTTTAACTCAACCATCAAAAAAAAGAAATCTTTTCTATTATCGATTTGGAATTTACTTGTAAAAGAGTTGAAATATTGTGCGCTCTTCAGCGCGCTGTGCGCAAACTTTTTGGGATTAAACCACAGGGCTCCCGTGATGCCTTTCGACCATGTTAGCCTCGTCATCATGCTGTCAYAATCGCGCGGGTTGATTCAAAATCAGTTTGATCTAAAGTAAACAGTCCAAGTTGAATACCTTCAGAAAAACCTTTAAAAAACAATCGAAAAATACTTCGATCGCCGTCAAAATGTCCATAYGTAGAGAGGAAGTTCTAATTTACGTTTGGGTGTAATTTTTATTTGGATTTTTAAGCACAAGGGGAAGATTTTTATTGCTTGTTTATGACGACATGACGACTCGTTACATGGGAAATTCTATCGAGGTAAGTCATCTTAATAAAGAAACTCAATAAAAAAAACTCATTTACTACGTTTTATATTGATATCATACTACCCAGGGATATCATGAGAAAGTTGTGTAGCTCGTGAAGCGGCTGTAAGATTCCTTGKATAGTGTTTCAGGTGTTGTTATGGCTGACACAAGCAATGATTATTAAAGCAGTTACTGTAAGCTTACTATTTAGAAAACATAACCTTACTTTATTTGAAAAATAATAATAAAAGTTGYTAAATATTATGATCAATTCATGTTAAATAAAATAATGTAGTTCAATGATGTTTTTCTAATTATAAGCTTATATCCTTTACTTTTTAAGAAAGAGAAAAATATTTCAAATGTTAGAAAAACCTCGGGAAGCTTAAACATTGAAAAGGAGGATGTTGACATCCACAAAATCAATATATATATATCCTTTGAGATCAATACCTCAAAACGATTTTATTACTAGAAACTTCTCCTGTGAGATATGTCATGTTTACATGCAAACTGTTGTRGGTTACCTGTGATTTCTTACATACTGTGACAATTGTATTCTAGGACTTCCAAGTTTTGGAGCTCCTCGGAAAAGGAGGCTTTGCTTGTGTCTACAAAGGTCAATGCCTCACAACACAACAAGAAGTGGCCATTAAAATGGTATGTTGTTCATTTTGACAGAGCTAGAAATATTAAAACAAGGCAGACAATGTCTTACCAAATGCCTCTTTGATAGCTGTTCCTCTTGATTGGCCACACTATGGCTGTTCATTATGTCCAGCCATTGAACAGCCATTATTTAAGATTATACCCCTAGTAGTTTACCTTTCGAGTTAATTTAATACTCTTATAATCTATCTACTAATAATTTTYAATGTGTTGCAGATTGACAAGAAAGCAATGAGATCACTTGGGATGGTTAAACGAGTGTGCAATGAAGTAGAGATCCATTCCCAGCTCAAACATCCATCAATACTAGAGGTACAAAGCATGCATATTGTGACCACCCCCCTTGGGAGTAATATGGAGGTTTCCCACAAAGAGGGAGGGGGTAAAATACCTGTGTGCAAATGCTGGTCAGTGGGCAGTTTTCATGGAAGCAAGCARGGCACTTCACATTTTTTAGTAACCGGATGAGGTTTAAATTTTGCCTTACCCTCTTCCATGCGTCATCAACTTATGTGCGTGAGCTCTTTCCATTTTCTTTTTTAGTGAACAAAATGCCAGAGTGCACACAAGTTTATGACACACGGGAGTAGGGGAAGGTGAAATTTAAACTGCATTAGGTTACTAAAAATAGTCCAACCSGGAATTTACATGGCGTGCGTGTTATTAAAAAGTTTCCCTTTCTTACTTATGCTCTCTTGATTTTACTTGACATGTAGATGTACACCTACTTTGAAGATGACAACTATGTTTACCTAGTGCTTGAAATGTGCCAGAATGGGGARGTCAACAGGTTCATCAAGAAGAATGGAGGGAAAATGTCAGAAAGCCAAGGTATTTCACTTCTGTATCTGGACTTAGGATAAAACAGCTTGCAACGGAATGGCAGTGGCAGAATGGCAGCTCACATATATGAGTGATTTGCTTTGCTTTGACTTGTTTGTGTGCACATTATGTCATCTTCACCTTGGTGGTGGTATTCGTAATATATATTTCCTAATAGCCTCCTTAGATAATACCACCAACATGGTTTCCATATCTTTTTCTTGACTCTGTTAGGGATGGATGTACAACACTGATTTTTATTCATGCTTTTGGCTTTATTTCACAGCTCGTCACATCATGCATCAGCTTGTCCAAGGAGTGCTATACCTTCATTCTTATGGTATTATCCATAGAGACCTTACTCTTGGTAATCTACTTCTAAACAAGAACATGGATGTGGTATGACAATGRTTTATTCAACATGAACATCACAAATAGATCACTATTGGCTCACACAGTTTCGTGCTATCTTTTGCTTCCATTATAGAAAATTGCAGACTTTGGACTTGCTGCAAGACTGGCTATGCCTAGTGAGAAACATTACACCATGTGTGGAACACCAAATTATATTTCACCGTGAGTTGAGACATTTAAATATTAAGTGCATTTTCTCAGACATAATCATTATCAGATAATGACAGGGGTGGAAGGCGTGCATGATGATAATAATGACATTGCTGTTAGCACCAGAAGCACTACMATCACATAAATTATAATGATGATGACAATGATGATACTTAATTTACTGACAGTGGTATAATGATGATTCATGATGAGAGTAGTGGCAATCAATCATGATAAATTTTAATGATTCCTTTTGTTATTGAAACAATGCATGGGAATTATGATATAATGGCATTTTCCCCTTCATTACAGTGAGATTGCAACCAGGGATCCGCATGGACTGGAGTCAGACGTATGGTCAATGGGATGTATGCTTTATACTCTTCTCGTAGGATCTCCACCTTTTGACGTAAGACTATAGAACTACAGTTCCTTCCTGTAATTCTATTGCAACTGCTTGTGTCTCGCTAGTTTTATAAGTACTATGTTTTGTCTTTGAAAAATTTTGGTTTTCCTCAATCTAAACAGACAAATGCAGTCAAGAGTACCCTGAACAAAGTTGTTCTAGCCAAGTATGATATGCCTGGGTAAGTTTATCACTTGTCATTTATTTTGTTGACCGTTGATGTAGTAAAACTATTTTCTATTAATGGCTAAAAATGATGCTGTTGCAGATATGTTTCACCTGAGGCCAAAGATTTAATCAGCAAATTGCTCAAAAAGGTACGGCAATGCTGTAGAATTGTTAATTTAATRACTATACTACATAGTATACTAGACATAAGAGTTGTGTTAATCTAGAACATAAGCTATAAAAAGGGTAACTGACAATAATTGCCCTTCCTTAATTTTTCTTTTCTTAAGTAATTTATATATATTTATCTTTTATGTTTTTCTTCTATGGCATTTTTTGTCATAATTAAAACACTCTACTTCTAATACTAACACTAAACTAAGCTACACGAAAGCAAATTATCAAAACCCTATGCATATTTTTCCTAATTTTTTCCTATTTACTTTGTTACAGAACCCAAATGATCGACTGACACTGTCAGGTACATAATAAAATACAATTTGAGTTATCTAGGCTATAGCTAACTGACAAAGATGATAAAATCTTATTACTAATAGATGCTAGTGCACATTGTGATGATGATTTTAAACTTTCTTTCAAACTTTAGGTATCTTGGATCATCCATTCATGACAGAAAAGACATTACCAAACACTCTTTCTTCACCATCAAGACATCATTATTCAACCAAAGTAAGATTTGTTAGAACTCACCATGATATAACCTTTTTTCAGTACCGATCATAAACTTTATAAAACCTTTTTTTTCCTCCAGTACTTTGAGCAGTCTGTAGACAGCGGTCAGGGTACCATGGCAACAGTGTCGACAGGTATTGGACGGTCGTCATGGTCAAGTAATGGACCAATAAATAAGCAAGAATCAGCTCACCATGGTTCTTACAACTCATCTAATTCTGTTGACCACTTGTCTAATGGCTGGTCAAGGAATTTAAGGCAACCACCTTCACCCCCAGTCAGACAAAGAGCAAGGTACACATACTTGCAAATTTAACAGGGTGGATTCAAATCAATCTTTTTAAATGTACTTGTCTGGTTTTCTATGATTTCAGTTCAAGTCCCAGTTCTGAGAACATCAACACCTCAGATCGACAGCACCTACGTGGCACAGAAGTAGCAAATTCCTCTAGCCATAAGAACACAACAAAATCGTCTGACCTCTGGTTATCTAACTTATCAACATCACATCTTCCCAAAAAGAGGTTTCAAGAGCCTTTAGTAGGAGCAGTCAATGGAAAAACTAACAGCTTACAGAATAAGTTTAGGTAAGTCTTGCAACTTCTTTGTCATTTCTCCCCCTTTCTCCAGGTTGATAATGCCCATATCTACCCTCACTACCCCTCCCCAATACACACACCCACGCCCACACACATGGATTTACACTTTTCCCTCAATGGTTAAAATCTTTGAAAGACCCTCTTAAGATTTCCAATCTGTCATTCTTTATTTCTAAATAAAATATACTACAAAAATCCAGTCTTCTATCAATCCAACCCATAAGATTTCCAATTACCTCGTACCAACACAAATTAAGACTTTCATTTGATCTTAATCTCACCCTCAGGACCTGACATGTAACCTCACTGGGAGTGTGGGGAGGGGGAGAATGGTTTGATGCAATTTAATACTATCATTGTTCCAGTTGTTAATTCATTTTGTGTTCACATTAATTTAAATTTGTAAATGGTTGTTCAAATTTTGTTTTGCAGGTCATATGATGCCAGCAAGTACAGCAGCTACTATACCAATTCCTGGACAGGGAAAGGTTCAGCCCAGGAAACAAGCAGTAGTGGGTTTTACAGTGCAAACACAAAACTACACCAAGAAGAATCTCAAACAATTGATAAGAACAATAATACTGGGACAGCTCTTAGCACAAACACATATCACTGTGGAGACAGCTTAGGGAATCAAATAAGTCAACATAAAAGACATGGTAGTGACAGTGTCAGCAGGGATGCAGATTCTTCAGAATTTCTCCCTCAAGAGAAAAATATCAGCCCTGTAAAACCTAGAAATGCTGGACAAGAGAAAAGAGAACGAAGATCTAGAGGAGAATCAAAGGGAAAGTCTCTTGGTGATGTGACCGAACCATTGAATGCAGAACGCTTGAGACCAATCCGCCAGAAAACTAGAAATGCAGTTGTTAGTATCTTGGAAGACTGTGAAGTCTGTCTAGAGTTTATTCATCAAGATCGTGGACAAGATATTGTGACAGAGGTGCTGAGGATTTCGTCCAATGGAATGAAGATTGTTGTGTATCATCCCAATGGGAAGGATGGCGAACCACTTCACTCTGAACCATCCCCTGTACCATCATCACCAGATGGTCATTATTTGTTTTCTAACTTGCCTTCTAAATACTGGAAAAAATACAAGTATGCAGTGAATTTTGTGCACTTGGTGCGCAAACTAACTCCAAGGGTAAGTAGGCGGGATGGCACTGTCATTCAGGCCTTATTGTTGTAAGAATTCAACCACTGGTTTGAACATAATTTGTTGGACTTTTCCCCTGAATTTTGAGCCTCTATTATGGAAATTGCTGAATGTGGAATCCTGTAAAGGATCTACTGTATTTTCACTTGCAGCTAAAAGGCTAAACTCATGACTAATCCTGTAATTATTGATCACTAGGTGACATTATATTCCAAATATGCCAAGTGTGTTTTGATGGAGAATTCTCCTCATCCTGACTTTGAAGTCTGCTTCTACAATGGTAAGAAAATCATACAATAATTTTTTTTACCTCTTCTTATCCACTTAAAATACAATTATTTTTCATTTTGAAGCATAAATTGCTGCATGATATAGTACTGGCATTTTTTTTTCAAAGTTATTAAGACCTTTTGCAAATTTGCTTGAGTGACCCAAAACAAATGTTCAAATGCCAGAGTTGGACTTGAAAATACCAAAAAAGTAAGGCCACATCAAGTCCAACCGCGACTTGAAGCCATTGTTTCATGGTCACTCAACAAATTTGCAAAAGGTCTATAGATGCTTTGCACCATCACGTGATGGCAGCCATGACAGGAGGCACAACAATAGAGAGTCTTTTTCCCTCTGGGAGACTGAATTCTTTCTCATGTAAATCAGATTAGACCAGATTCAATTGTTCCCGCCTCCTGTCATGGCTGCTATCACGTGGTCTCCATTGGGGAGCTGTTGGCTCTGTTCTGTTTGAGGCATAAAACACTCTTTCTTGATGATCTTCCTATCTTCTTACAGGAGCCAAAGTCCACCAGTCAACAAAGTGTACCAAGATAATTGAACCAGGTGGTGTCTCATACACCTTGCAGTCTGTCGGAGGAATGGAAGGAGTTCCTTTAGAAATGAGGTCTTTTCTTCATCATGTACAAGATGCCTATGAAAAATGTCTAAAGCTTGAGAATACCATTGCACAAGTTGAGCAAGAAATTCACAGCCAACAGTTTTTTCCATTGATTGTTGGTCGCAGACCATCTAGAAAACAGTCAAGTGATAAAGAACCAACACAGCCTAAGCCTCCTGCCGTGTAAGTCTATTTTTATCATCACTATCTAGATTTCTATAACACAAACATGGAATTTAGGCTGTCAGCCACAGTTGCAATATTGGGTTATCTTGTTTTTTTTTTGAAACCACATTCTTGCTGTTTCAACCACTTGGATAGGTATTTTTATTTGACGGATTCCTGGATAAAAATCCTGTCATAGATTGTTGTAAACAGTAGTAGTATGTGTGTAAAAACCTCACAGAAGAGTGGAATGATGGTTGTAAAATCTATTACTTATAAGCTTGTCATGATCATAAACTGTCTTTACTTAATTTGTAGATCAACAGTTGGTACATCAGCACTGCCAACCTCACCAAGCATTGCTGCTCCAGCCTCAGTATCACTCCTCTCATTCAATGGCACAATTGCCAGCACAATGCCAAATATTCAGCAATCAAATATTGCTAATATGCATCAGAATAAACAACAGTCGTCCTCAAGACCAGAGGCCAGTCATGTCAAGAGAAAGACTCCAGAGATAAAGCAGAAGAGGGACAAAGAAAACCTTAATACAGAGTTTGTCCAAAATGACACCAAACAGGGTATTTCTCCATCAGCTGAGATTTTTAAAAGCACCTTTGTGGAAGGAGTAGGCTGGGCATCACAGGTTTGTAGTAAAAAAAATATTAAATGTAAAGTTCTATTCGTGATTAATATAGAGAGACCTTTCTTGAATTCTCTTGAGTGACCATGAAACAATGGTTCCAAGTTGAGGTTAAACATGATCAAAAAAAAGTAAATATATGAAAACATCAAGTCTAACCATGGAGTCATCGTTTTGAGGTCATCACTTGCATGTGATGTTAAAACAGCTCAATTTGGAGGACAAAACAAAATAATTTCAATCTCCTGAGAACTGGAAACCTATTGTTATGTCCTCCAAATTGAGCTGCATTCTGACGTGCTGCAAGGAGTGTATTTGGGAAAAAGATCTATTGACTCAAACATTTTCCTCAATTTTGAGATTTCATCTGCAACATCTTTATCATTTAGTTAACTAGTGGTGGTGTCCGGGTACAATACAGTGATGGTTCACAAATGCTTGTCAATGCTTCAGAAGCTAAAGTAAACTACACAGACAGCCAAGGAACTGTTACACAGTAAGTATCACAGTATTACAGACAATATTACATACCAACTTATATTACCATTTAAGCAACCACCATTGGAGATATTTCAAGTTAATCTACCCATAAAGACCGTGTGTCATTCCAAAAAGTTGCATGAGAAGTCACATGAATATGGATACAACTCAAACAAAGAATCTTATTATCTAGGGAATGACATTGGTTCGAAATAAGTTACTACAGATCTCACCGAACTGTGGCGACACGTCAAAAATGTCTCGCTGCCACGCCCTAATTCTTCTACTGACACGCCTACTTTTGTTACAGCAGTCAGCGTTCCATCTTTCATGTATTACGGTGCACTGTAATACATGAAAGATGGAACACCGACTGCTGTAATAAAAGTAGGCGTGTCAGTAGACGAATTAGGGCATGGTAGCGAGACAAATTTTTGACGTGTGGCCACAGTCCAATGAGATCCGTAGTAACATTGCACTAAGACAAATTAGGTCTATTTCCATATCATACCTCGTTATACAAGGATTAACATGTAGTTTTTTTGTTTTGTTTGGATCCTATTATTAAATTTAAAAAATTAACAATGCAAATATCTCTTACAGGTACAGATATTCAGACACATTTCCAAGTGTCATCAAAACCAAATTAGCTAATCTACCATTCATCATTGAAAGCCTTGCCAAAGCTTCAAGAACCAAGACTTAACGATAATATCACAGACATAACTTTAACAGGACATTCTTATTATTTTAAAAAGGATACATGTACTATATTTTCATAAATGTATGAAAAATAAGGCAATGCAATTGAAAATTGTGGAATAAAGTAGATGGTTCTGTAATATTAATGTGTTAAGAGTCTTTGTCTCATCGTGTTCAAAAGAGAAATCCATATCCATATAGTAAGGGCTTTAAATTGAAAATCAAAATGGCCAGAATTTTTTTGCTTTTGTTTTGGCAGAACAAATATAATTCTTACATTTGGCAGTTCAAAAATAGCCTGAAAGTGAGAGTAATAAAATGACCTGTATTTTGGCTATAGGCCAGGCACTATTTTTAGCCCTGCTATCTTAAGAATGATGCTTCAGGGAAAACATTGATTTTAATATCATAAAACAACTCAACTGCAATTTCGAGAATCTTTAATTGTTTGATATTACCTTTAACAATGGCAATTTGCAGAGCCTATTTATATCAAACCATTGTTAAAAAGATAGATCCCCTTCAGGGATGTTATCAAAGTATTCCTTGAACCATTCCACTTGGCCTTTCTTCTGTGCCACTGTCATGTGTGGATTCTGTTCTAAACCATTAATAACAAGCTCCATAAACCTCCTCACTGGACCCTTCTTGGGGAAACCGTCAAGCAGATACCCAAGAAAGACATGCTCCTCAAAGCTAACACTCTCCTCTTCTACTTTACACACTTCATTATCCACTGGAAACTTCCACTGTTTGTCTGCAATCTCTATTAGACTTATAAAATCATTTCTTTGATCTAAAGCTTCATATCTCAGCAACATTTCCATTTCTATGCCCTCTAATAAGCTGAGCTTACTTGGAGGCTCTTTGGAAGCAACGCTATGACCAAAGATATTGTCAAACAGATTGAACCTTGCTCCATCTGTAAGTGATATTTCCCTAGTCACTTGAAGTGCCTCTTTTCTACTCTGCATTTTATAGTCACTGACAATATCCTTCCTGTACCTTGGGCTTACTCGCCCCCAACTCTTTGCTGCTCCAATAATATCTTTTGAGAGATTGGTCTGCGCTGAGTCAATCTTGAGTTTGGATAAAATTGATTTCAGCTTACCATGGATCTCAGGAGAAAGTGTTGGGTTTGCAGCATCTTTTTTAAGCATTTTCTTCATTGTGTCTGAAACATCTGATGTCTTGGTTGTTTCAAATGGTGGGCTTGGAATAGGGGTTTCTCTAGCGTTCAATCTTTCGTCTCTGGTTCCTGCTTTGACGTCATCTTCAGATAAAACTGAGCTCTGACTGAGACGCTCCATACTGCTCTTTACGCTTCCTTCTGCTGCCACTGACTTAACTCTATTTTCATTTCCTATTACGGTTTCCAGGGTATCTTTTTGTGGTTCTTTTAACTGTTTGCCGCGCTGCAAAATCTCCTTCAAATCACCATTTTTGTCCTTTCGCTTCAACGAGCTCAAAAGGCTTGAAATTCCACTCTTGGATGGCTTATCTCCCCCATCGCTGGAACCCGTGGAATAAGCCCTATGATATCTTATAGGAGCAATCCTTTGAAAGGACGTTGGTTTGAAATAACGGGTACAAAAGGCACGAGAAAGAAGACTCATGATGAACTCACGCTTCGTCCGCCATGTTGGATTACCCACAATACATCTGAGGACTATAATTACCCAGCATACATTTCGAGCTCACATTGATCCAAGATGGCGGACAAAACAAACTTTTGACAGTCTTTTACTTCTCTCCCTTAAAAATATCTTCCCCTCCCCTGAAAAACGAAAAGTAAGAAATACTTAACGTTTAGACACTATGTCTTTCTTGCTCGTCCTTTTCTTTATCGTTAGACTCTTTTTTCTGTGGAGAATGCTTTTTTTTTTACAGAAAAGTGACGCACTGCTTGAGTAGCATTGGTTCTAGCACTAAATAAAGTATTTAGAATATATTATTGCTGTTTCAGTGAGTGCAGGAAGGAATTTAAGGCCAGAGACTACGTCCTATAAGGAAACTGGCATACCATGGTATGTAAGAAATGCTTCAAAATCATAGAAGACTTTGTATGAAGTCTACATTCCCCAATTTATTTTTATTTTTTTGATATTTGMTGCAATAAGAATGATATGCCATGCATTAATGATCTCCCATTCCATGTATGCAGTAATTTTTGGGTGTTTCATGATTTTGAAATTTTCATTCATTCAAAACCTTCATTTGTGTCCCATTTATATTATCCCATATCTATTATCCCATTTACAGTGGCAACCCGACGAGGTACAAAAGCAGGGGTGTCATCCGCATGAATACTAAAGATGCGACACCCTTTAAAGACCAGAGGTTTGATCAGCCAGGTGAAGGAACTGAATCAGAGGCAGAGCAACAGCTCAAAAGAATGGTTCAAAATCAATTGGATACAACTTTGACAATTGAGAGGTATGGAGCACAAATACCATGCAGTTTCCTACCCTCAGTACCCTTTGTGCAGAAAAGACCCTGGATCCTTGAATATTCTTGAAGAGGGGAAAATAGACCAAAGGCTCCGGAGGGAATTTATTTCTTGATATTTTGGAGAGAACCAACATAAAACTCTTCTCACATATCGACCTTTCCTGAGTAGCAAACACATTRCATTGTGGTCTAGCTTGGGTTCAAAATAATGTCTTATGTTCATTATGCCTCATATAGTGTCATTTGTACCCAAGCTATACCACAATGCATTGTGTTTTTCAAAAAAGAAAAGTTCTATAATTGTGGTGGGTCAAAAGATTGATTAGTGAGTGGTGGTTTTGATATAAGCATTAAGTATCAACAGTAACCATTAATGGATGGGATATGGGTAACACTTTACCCTTGCGTGGAGTCAAGGTTGGGGAACTCCACCCAAGTAGTTATAGTTCTATTCTACTCTTCATTCTGGTTTACAGTCAGAAAACCAAGCAGAGGGCCTTCACTTCTTCATCAGTATACAAAAGCTATGACCCCAAGTCTGCAGGACAATTAAGCTTGAAGGACTACAAGACCTTAGAGGATCGAAAGAAATATGTTGAAACACTTGAGCAGTATGAACTGACAGAGGAAGAGATTCAGTTTAAACTTGAACAGGAGGGGTATACACCTAAGGTAAGGACTTCAAGACAAGTCTGCCACATTAAAATTTTGAAGGTGGGGCTTTATCATTGGCGATAGTGCTTATCTCTAGTTTCTGACAGTAGCTCGATGTAACGATAGGTTTCACTTTATTACAGCTTCTGTAGGATGGTTTAGTTCCATAAATTATTCATACCTCATGCACAGAGGAATTTTTTTAAGGCTTCCCACCCCTGGAAATTCCAATTGTTTTCAATACAAACTCTAGATCTGTAATTTTGTTCCTTCTCTGACCATATAAGGCACCAAAGAAATCCAAATATGGTGCTGATCCCAATGCAGAATCTGAAAGACTTCGACAACTACAGAGAAAAGTTGAAGAAAAAGAGCAGAGGTTAGCAAAACCAGACTCATTCTCCAATGTGCAGACTCTCAGTAGACATGCAATGGAGGTGGAAAGGTCGTTGAACAGAGGAACAGAGAAGGCAACGACTTTTAGTCACTTGGTTCAACTAAATGCTGCAGGTAATTTTTCATACAAGCATACAAGCTGCAGTGATAGTGAATAATTTTTTTCGTTCACTCAGATCAAGTCAAAAAGCATGACAATACATATCAGGATTATGATAATGATATTTATTTAGCGCTCTTTTTCATATTGATATTATCAAAGGTGCTTTACAATGAGTTAGGAATGAGAGGTGGTTAGTATGACCAAATTTAGAGGGATGGGACCACCATTTAAAGTGGTCATCTGAGCCACTTGAAAGTCTAACCATTTGCAGATGTAATTACAAAGGCAGCACCTTCTCCTCAGTTATTTTAAGACCCTGAGTGTTGGTCCAGTCAAGGCTTGAACCACAACCTCCTGCACAGCAGATGAACCCTCTTAAGAACTGAGTTAAATCTTTGTGGAGGGAACATACGACTTTACTCACATACGACACCAAGCTTGAAATTTGAACTTGGATCGCATTGGTGAGAGGCAGGGCACATAACCCGCGCATTTTTCCTTATTTATCAAAATGCTTCAATATGAAAGTCACAACTTTTTTTCTATTTGAGAAGAGACTTTCTTTTCACGTTCAATAGAATTCATTGACTTAAAAGAGATTAACAGGCATCGAGTAAAGTTTTTTGTTCGTTGCTTGCTCACCAGGTTCTTCTGTCAGTGACGATCCTATATTGCAAACCCTTTTGGCCAACAGACTCTCTAAAAACTTAGTTAAACCTSTTGACCAAATATCACAAGAAAGTCAAAATATGCAGGAGATTCAAGATGACATAGAAATTGGACCTCCTGAAAAACCCGTGTCTTCAGATAAAAATACTGGCAGAAAGTTTGGCGAAACCTCCTTGGATGGTAGGTTAAACCTCCACGCATGCGTTGTTCCTGTCCTTGAAGAAGATATTATCAAAAATAGGCTCACACTAGAAGAGATTAGAGGAATTCCAAGATTCAATGATTACAGTCCAGGAGAACCAAGTAAGGTATGTCTGACGTGCAGGGGCGTATCGAGGTCTCGTTCATAGGGGGAGCAATGTACCATTTTCCCGCCAAATCCACAGGAATCTTACATGAATTAATTAAATGTTGGTGCCAAAAGCAAACTTTTAGGGGTGAATTTTTGTAAAAAAAAGTGTAAAAAAAAACTGGTTATCGGAAGCTTTTGTGTATACGTAAAGCCCTCTTTATAAAGAACCCGAGTATGGTGCATTAGTTTGGGGCGATGAATGAGGATTGGACTTCTTCTATTGCATCATATCACTCATGTTTAATCCTGATTATAAGATACTAAAGTGGACTGAACCGATTCTGATTAGTATATGATATTTGGCATAACTCGGCTTTCTCATCCGGCTTATCGTTTTACACTTCTGCTGCACTTCAGTCTATTCAAACTACCCTGTAACCTTTACTCAGTCGAAATCACAACCTCGACCACTAAACTACACAATCGCTCACACGCCTTCGTAGTTATAATAATAATATAATAATGATGATGATGATGATGATGATGATGATAATAATAATATTTTATAATAATATTTTACAACCACCACTCCCCATACGGGGCTCTTCCGTGAGGTTCCCTCCACACGCACTACCACTACGTTCTATATTTACAACATACAACACTCAACTCACATGTTGATTTTTATGGGGGGAGAAAACCGGAGAACCCCGAGAAAACCCTCGTAGCATAGGAGAGAACATCACATCAAACAAACTCAATTCACATGTGGCGACCGCAGGGCTCGAACCAGCGACCCGACCCGTTTTATTTAGTTTTATCGCTTCGCTAATTCACATAGTGAAATTCTTTTGCAAATACGTGCTAACGCCATGTCCATTAATTCACATCTACGGAACGTACTCGATTTGCATTTAACTAGGGCTCCGGCATCGTCAGATTGTGAAATCGCTTTCAAATATATTTTTTGAAATATCTTTATCATCTTTAAAGCGGTATGTAGTTTTATAGGGTTTTGTTGAAGTGTAACGCAGAGAAAGTTTTAAACGTAACATACCCCTTTTATATTAAGGAAAGAATCAATTCAAGACAGTTCTGATTAAATATCCACCCGCGAGGCAAGATCTAATTTTATCATRAAATTGATCTCAGACTCAGTTTCTCTCAGTAAGGGAACCACTGCTTAGCCACTTGTTACATACTACATTTCGGAAAAACAATACCCAACCTGTGACTTGGAAAACAATTTTTTTATCTTTACTTCTATTTGAATTTAGATTGAAAATCTATTTATTGAAGTCACGTTCCTTGCCGAAGATAGCAATATCGTTACATAACCAAGATAAGGGTCAATCATTGCTCTATTTATCACCTCTTATTGTTATTTTCCCTCCCCAAAATTAAACTAGATCAGCATCTGGGCAAAGGTTGTTTTCGGGGTTTGAGTTAAAAAAAGATCTCACTCTAGTATGCCTGTAATAACGTCACTAGCTGGAGTACTATCTCACTGAGCATGCGCAATGAAATAAATGGCGTCACTAGGTTGTCATAACACTTTCCTGCGCATGCGCAAGAAGTAATTAACGTCATCATTAGATTGCGAATCTTTCCTACCTAGAGACCATGGAGGTCATAATCTGTTGTTCCTATACGCATTTAAAAATATCATCCTTTGTGATAAATAAGCAGGGCTACTATGAGCATGCGCGGGATCCTTCCGACATCGCCACCGTTCTTCAAACCACTTGTCTCATTACAATTTGCCAATCTTCTAGGGAAATAATCCTGCTATCCGCACTAATGAATATCCGAAAGCCTTCATTTTCGTGATATTCACCTTTCCACCTGCTGTTGTTGTTGATCAAACTTAATTCCAATTTTCTTTAACTTGTAATGGCACAGTTCCTTCGTTGCGAGTAAATATTGACTACTACAACACGAAAATCATGTTTTTGTTTGATGTGAGAAAGCAGGCGCTTCCTTTCCCGAAGAAGTGAGTCCTCAAAGATCAAATTGAGACGTTTCGCGCTTAAGAGTATGTTTACCCTTTTACAATCATTACCGTTTTCACTTTCTC